ACGGAAAAAGACAAAAGACAAAAAAAAAAAAAAACAGGGAAAAAATGAATGCATTTCCCTTAAGAGCAGAAGCAAGACAAGGATGCCCATTTTCACCACTCCTATTTAATACAGTATTGGAAGTACTAGCCAGAGCAATCAGGGAAGAGAAAGAAATAAAGGACATCTAGATTCTAAAAGACAAAGTCCTTGTTGAGCTCAGTGAGAAATTTAAAACCTTCATGATATCCTATAGAGGTATATGTTTCATTATATATTATGTATTTGTCATCCACGTGTATCACAGTAAATAGGTGTTTTTTTTTTTTTAAAAAAAAGCACAACTCCCCAGAGAGCCTATACTGTGTGCCATGATTAATCATTCTGAAGCCAGTGCACTGACCCATCTGAAACGAAGTTATTCTTCACTGAGAAGTTAAACATTTTCTGTTCTTCCCCAACATGGACGTTAGGAACTTGATCATTCGTTTTTCAGTACTGATTAGCAGCAAAGGACTGATGGTGGCATAGCCATTGCTCACAAACATCTGGACACAATAAAGAACTGGGTTGCTGTTCCACAATATTCCTGAGGAATAGGAGGAGACAATGCAATCTAAAATGTACATGATGACAAAGAAACTCATGAGCAGCAGAATGGTCCGGGAGGCCCTATTTTCTGGGGAGGCTTTTGAGGAAAGGTGGGTGCTGTGGAGATGCTGGGACTGCCTCTTGTGCCGGTACAAGAGAACCACCATGTATCCACTGGAGAGGGCCATGAGGCCTATGAGAGAGAAATCGCAGAAGGTCACCAGTGTGGAAATTATGTGCCCCAAAATGTAACTCAGGGGCAAAAGAGAACAGGATTCAGAAACAAACATTAGACTGTCTGAGGTCAAATTAGGGGTGGCAATAGTGGAGATTAATAGGTGAATGTTAATAGACACATAGAAGACCCACAGGAAGAGAAAGACACATGGGTTGTGATGTGAGCATTTATGTTTGAACTTTGCCAGACAGGAGCTCCTGGGGCTGAGGGTGATGGCCTGGAGGACACTCAGCAGGCAGGTGGTGCAGATGGAGAGGCCCCGCATCAACCTGTACAAGTACAGAACTGCCTTACACTCGATGTCATCCCAAAAATCCTGAGACCCAAAAATGTCTGTGGCTATGAAACCTAAGGTCAGCAGCATCACTAGGTGGATTAGGGCCAAGTGGCTGATGGTCAGGTCAGTGGCCTTGGGCCTGTGCTCAAGAAGGAACGTGAGGACATGGAAGACAAGAAGGAGGGCGTTGGCTAAGAGCCCAATGCCAAGTTCAGAGAAAAAGGTGTCTCTCATGGCAATAAAAGTGTACAGTTTGTTGTTTTTCTTCATCTTATGGGGGAAACAAGTGTAGTAAATGTCTGAGGAGAAAAGCAAGAAAAATTATCTTTATCACAAATATTACCACCTTCATCAATCTCAACCAACATTATTGCCATCATTAAAATATTTGGATTAATCCCAAGGCAACCTTTTCACCTTTCAATACACAAGTGCACCTCACACCTTCCGGAAGCCATCCCTCTCTCTCCCTGGTCCTAACGCTTCTCCATCACAGTTTTATTATGTATCCCATTGCTGGGCTCCCACGGTACATAAGATTTCCTCTACATTAAAAATTGCCATAAGTATAGAAAACGCCTTATTACCTGGGTTTTTTGATTTTCAGGGGCAAGGGCAATATGTTATTTGGTTTTGATCTGCATCATCTGGATTAACCAATGAGTATATAGTAAGAGCTCTGCAATTATTGCTCAATTCAAATGAAGAGGACTGCATAAAGTGAAAATAAGACCCTCCCGGGCAAAGCGTCTCAATGGATTAGACACACACAATGTTACACTATTTCAGTGCTACCTTTATTCTGGTTGGTTTATTGTCAAACCAAATATTCTTAATATATTAACAGAGAAAATGCTGATAGTGTGGGCTGTAAAGTCAGACTGCTTGAATTTATATCTACAATCTGCAGTTTGGACTAGAGTAGTCCACAATGCTGAGCTCCATCTCACGTACAAAACATGGACAATCGTTTTACCTAAATCTAAGAGATAACACGTGAGAAAAAGGATTAAGTATACGCACCAAACATGGAAGTGTTTCCAGCACATAATGATCTCTAAAGAAATGTCAGCCATGATTTTTATTATTGTGCGGCTCCTCATATGTATGACTTGGGAGACTTAATGCAGTTATTTTAATAGTTCATCAGTTCTGTCTCTGCCTAAGAGAGGATTAAAAATTACCAAAATAAAAGAATATTTTAGGAATCTCTGTTCAGAAAACTTCGGTGGAATTTTAGGTCTTTTTTTCTGAATTCCCCAAGATAGCTATACATCTTCTATATTTTTTATTTTTATTCCAGAATAACTAGCCAATGTGAGCAGAACCCAGTTATCAAATAATAGAAACATAAGCTATATATTTTTTTCTATTCAGGCATGTGGAATTAGGGTGGTAAATAAACCACAATTAAAATAGACGCAGGGTCATTCCATTGTAGGGTTTTAATTAGAAGACAAGTACCCAACCCAACCCAGAAAGATGGGTCTACACAGCAGTTCAAGCCTTCATGTCACCTTCAAGTGAGCAATGATATTTCTCCAGACTCAAGAGGCCCACACATAAAAATCGTCCTAGAAAATTTGGTGATGACATATTCATGGACTATTTCCCTATAAAATATACATACTTCAAGCTTTATAAATACAAGGAACGTAACATTGTAAGATGTTTCAAGTCATATATTCAAGAATTGTTATCTGAAAATCAATGGTACAAGGATAAATCACTTCATGGCTCTTTAGACCATTCAGTTTTATAATGTAAGATACTACAGGGAAGCAGTCTTTTTCCAAAATAATGCTCAGGCAAAGTGACACAGTTTTCTCTGTTGACACATTTAGCATATTTGGGTGTGGTCCCATGATAAGGCTAGGAGAAATTACAAAAAATATTGATAAGAAACTCAATAGTCTCCACATGATCATTAGCGCACAGCCTTAAATGGCATTCTGAGTCTTCTATGTACTTTTAAATGGCATTTGCCTTTTTTTGTACATTTATTTCATGTAAGGGAAAATATATAGTGATAATGATTTTAAATAAGTTTAAATAGATGCATATTAGCATTTAATAAATACCATTTAAAAATAGTTCTAAAATTGCCTTCTCTCATGTTGTTTCTGTGAAATATAGTCTTTGCTTTAATTCGGTTTAATTCATTTTTAAAACGCAGCCTTACAAATACACAGCATTGTGAAACTGTTCAAGTTGCAAGTTTTAATCATCTGAAACAAGCGTACTGAGCTGTGTTGTCTTCAGTGTTCCTTTGTGGACTGCAGTCCTACAAACACAAATGCTGTGGGAAGGCAGGACGGACAGACGGCATGAATTTGGCCCAATTTTCATGAAAGCATGGCTTAAGTGGATCATTGTTCAAAATCACTGGAAAAAAATCTTCCTTTTCTACAGGAAAAATTTCATAGCGGGAGCAGAAAAGTTGGCAGCTTTCTACAGTGTATTGATCAAGGAAAGTGACATATTTTTGCACATCCACAGGCACCCACTTACATTAGTTCCCGTGGAGCACGAGGAGAGTCACCAGAATATCTGAGTCTGGTCATTCAGCTGCCACCAAACTTTGTGGATAACACGTAGCTGTATTAATGCAACACATACACCAAATAGGCATGTGTTACATTTATATGTAAGCATTATAAGAAAGGTATGTAGCTCTTTCTGTGCTAATATATTATTTTATTAGAAGACATATTCTGAAGGATGTGAATCCTTTATAAAAACAGGATAAAAGAAACCCTGTTAGCGTGTCCCCTCCCGCTGTGCTTCATCACACTCCCACCTGACTCACACAGCACAGTTTGGGAGATCAGGGGACAGAACTGAAATGCTTTCCATCAGCAGGACGATCTAGGAAACCCTCTTCAAATGCAGCTCTTAAGAGTGACAGATGCAGAGATGGCACCTGCCTCATTTGATGTGCCAAGCACAAAATCATACTTTACACACTGGAGAAATAAGCTGCCTTCAGAGAGACTTGTTGTTCGATGTATAAGGAAGGACATAAACCACAGGAAATCTAGCACAGATTTCTGAAATATGTCAATTTGAAGAGGCCACATTAGGTAAGAGAAAGGAAAGGCCCAGTGGACAGATCAGGGGAAAACAACACATGCATAGAGTAAGAAATATCAAAGAAAAATCTGGTAGTAAAAGCTGGGGTACCCTCAGGAGAAAGATAACACAGTTAAGACTCCCTTTAATATGTAAATCAAGGAAGCAATCATTTTAGACATGTGTCATTCTGCAATTACCCAAATCGTACATAATCATGTGATACACACTGGTATCAAATGGGCCACAAACTAGTGAATAATGCTGAGGTAATTGCACCCAATGCAGAGGCCAGGAGAGCAGTGGAGAGTGTAACAGAAGGAGGACACTCCTCGGCAGACCCCAGTGCAAATTTGGGTGCCTATGACCTTGTGTGTGAACCGACTATGGGGTGAAGGGAAGGAAGGGAGGGCACATCAGTTTTCTCCTCTGCAGCATGAGCATAGCGTGACACCTCATAGGACTGATATGATGTGTAAATAACATAATTTATGTCCAGGACTTAACCATATTTGTCCAGCCTTACATACATAAAAGAGCATATTTTGGTTTGTCATTATCATATAGCTCAATGTCACATCATTGTCATGAGTATTATCACCATCTGTAAATCAAGTAAAAATGGACAAAGTGATCAGGGAGGTGAGACTGATCATGTTTCATGGTCAAATGAGTTTGGGGCCACGGGTAGTGGATGCAAATATCCTTTTTCTCCAGTTCTTAGAAATTATATTTCTAGGTCTTTTGGAGCTGTAAAGGGAAAACTACCATCATCTTCACTTGTTTTCTAAATGTTTAATGTGACTGCAACCGAGTTATCACTGCCCTCCAATTTGAAATTTCCTCACTGGTAGAGCAGATGCTTAATGGCTGACATCATTAAATTGCCTTCACTTGTTTTCTAAATGTTTAATGTGACTGCAACCGAGTTATCACTGACCTCCAATTTGAAATTTCCTCACTGGTAGAGCAGATGCTTAATGGCTGACATCATTAAATTGTAATTTGTAATTTGTGAACTTAAAACTGGGACAGACAAGAAAGATTTCATGAGAAAAATGCTAGCAGGTACTTTGCAGTAATGTGAAGTTAAACTCTATATGATCATGTTTGGAACAAAGAACCTCATTTCCTTTTTTTTTTTTTTTTTTTGGTGACCAGTAAGGGGATCGCAACCCTTGGCTTGGTGTCGTTCGCACAGCGCTCAGCCAGTGAGCGCACCAGCCATCCGTACATAGGATCTGAACCCACGGCGGGAGCGCCACTGCGCTCCCAGTGCCGCACTCTCCCGAGTGAACCACGGGGTTGGCCCCTCATTTCCTTCTAAAAAATTTAAAATTATTTTTTTAACTACTCAATCTATAGAAGTCACATATATAAAATAGTTATATTTGATTTATGAAGATGAGAGGGGGCAAACTGAGTATATTTAATAGAAATCTGATATTAAAACATCACTTTCCTGATAATTGGTTTAAACCCACTAGGTAACATAATAATATGTAATTTGAGTAGTGGTATAGTAAGTCAACAAAATTTATTTCATTCAGAAAAAAAATGGAAGCCTAAAATAAATTGATATTTACTACGAAAAAACTGACTAATTTTATGAGATGTCAAATTAAAGGACTAAGTATGTTAAGATAACTCCATTGCAATATAGAGAAACAATCCTCTGAGCCACGGAGGACTGTTGGAGCTGATGCTCATTCCGAGGCTACCACAAACCTCACTCAGAGATCCCGTTTCATCCCTTCTACAACCTGCCTAGGACCCCGCCCACACACTGGTTATACATCTGTAGAATAAAGAAGCACTTACCCAGATGGACGTGCAGGAGATTTGGTGCACCTGAGATGGGCCTGCACACTTTTAAGGAAGGGACAATGTTAGCTCATCTCTCTGCAGGCCTGTAATTTTAGCATCTGTAGAAAGGTGACAGGCTCCCGCTGGGGAGCACAGAAACTTGGAGTTCCCAATGGAACATTTTACCTGTCTCTTAATTTTACTTTGTTCTCTCCTGGATAATAAATGATCAGAGGACAGCTCCACTCAAAACTTTTCTCTAAGTTCCCTTGCCACATCTGCCTGAGGGATCAGAAGGGTCACAATCATATAGACAACACCAAATCCTCTCATTCTGATTCCCAAGATAAATTAGTCCAACCCCATTTCTTACTTTGTAAAGCCTCTCCTCT